GTCGGGTTTTCTTCTGTGCAGACATGACATAAACAAACAAACAAATAAAGCAAACCTGGAATTTCCCACCAAATCTAAACTCAAAATTAAAATCAATATTCCGCACTGGCTTAACATACACTCTTTATTCAAAGACTTTAAAGCATGATTATAAGGCAAAAACGACAAGCAAAAGCTTCTGAAACAACATAACGGCAAACGCCAGCTTGATTCAGAACTGAATGCCTTTGATCGCATGTTCAAAGAGACCGAATTCAGATGCCAGCTGTGAATATTGTATAAATGAATAACGGCGTTCTTCCCTAAAGAGCTGCAAACAACACATGTTCATCTACAGTGAATCGTGATATTGTATTTATCGGGATCAAAACTAGATACTTCCAAAGAAGAGACCAGAGGGCAAAAAAAATGAACATGGTTTAAAAATCAGCCCTGAGAGACTAATGTCTGAGCAGAGCCATCAAAAACAACTCTACTGTACGTACCGTCCAACTGCAGATCATGAGGGAACAGGCTTCATGCCCAACGGCTCGCGTGAGAGTGACAGCGGCAGGTGCTTCTGCACGTCCCCACGCTACCTGTCAGCAAGTTTTATGAACCCAAGCATTATTTAACACATTCTTTGGATATGCCTCAGAAATGCATTTTTATGCCTTCAGCCGATTGAGGGCCGTCAGGGAGGCTGGGCCAGCGTGGTTTGCCAGAACGAGGTGCGGTGAAGGTGTCATTGGGTGTCAGGAAGAGCTGTGATGGTTTGGGTTTTTAACTGAGACTCGGGTCGACTTCTGCGACAGGCTAACATTCTTCCCTCATCATCTCAAAACGAACTAGCAGGCGAGCCAAGGATATTAATAATCTGCCGCTGCGAACGTGGGACAGTGTGTTCAAAATCAGCAGGGGATATTCGTCCCAGGATGCATTGGTGTTGGCCGAGGAATGAAACCAAACACAGGAGCCCAGAGACGCAGTTTACAATTTTGAACAGTTTTTTACTAAAATGTGGCATTAAAAAGCTGTGAGCTATGATGTGACGACCAAGGACCTTCATTTGATGCATGTGTCCACTGACCAACAATGAACCCTTTCCCCGCCAGCATTTTTGATAATTTTTTACAAATTGCATGGCCCCCAGGATATATTTTGTTGTAAGAATATCAGAACATTAAATATATCAAAAGAAAGAACATTTTTTTTATCAACACTTGAATGTGAGTAAGCTTCATAAAAAAGCAATATTTTGAGCAAAAAGCTGATAAAATCGTGTTTTTGTCAAAGACTACATCTGGATCAGATTCAGAACGATGATCAAAACACAGGAGGAGTAGATCGAGTCCATCAACACCCCAAAGCTTCACAGTCCTAAAGCTCGCACTTGATCGACATTTTGATTTATGACATTGACATGATCGCGTTATTTCACATATGGATGTGTTTACATATGATATATCTTGTTTCTGCTTCTTCTTCACCTGTGTTTTGATCAGGAGATTCTGCACTCTTTTAGAAGATGTGTAACAGCGCCCCTACTGTATAACAGTGAAAACACAGAAAGAGTGGCAGGGAAAGAGTTAAAAATCCTCACAGCGCAGACAGAAAACTGGAGCGTGTCCTGTGTGAACTGCACTCCTCTCTGCCTCGGTACGTTTGATGTGAAGGTTTCTCAAGCCCAGACCTGCAGATGCACAGCTGCAGTAAAGCCTCTGTTTGTCCTCTGATGCCGAGTTCACACTGCACGAGTTTCAAAGTCGTCGGGTCACTGTTCTTTTCACACTGCGTGACTATCTGGGGTAACCTTCAGTTGCTGGTGTGTGCACACTACACGATGGATCGGAGACCGGAGGTTTCACACTGCATGACTTAAAGGGGTGGTATAATACCCTTTTCACAAGATGTAAAATAAATCTCTGATGTCCCCAGAGTGTGTATGTGAAGTTTTAGCTCAAAATACCCCACAGATATTTTTATATAGCATGTTAAATTGGTCACTTTTTGAGGGTGAGCAAAAACGCACCGTTTTGTGTCTGGCCCTTTAAATGCAAATGAGCTGCAGCTCCCAACACAGGGGGCGGAGCTTCAAGAGTGTGTGTGTTAGCAGCTCCGATTACCTCACGCAGACACACGCTAAAATGTCAGAAACTGTTCTGCCTTTTATGTTTAAACCGGAGTCAGACAAAGATTGAGAGACTAAGAAGAAGTGACAACATGTAGAATGCAACAGGACATCTCTGAATGGTTAGTTGATGACTGTATGTTGCTGATGTGGAGTTAGCTATCCTCAATTAGCATATTCTGTCAAGATAATCTTTAAATCGCTTGTATAGGAACTGTTGTGAGATGCACACAGAGTGACTACAACAGCTCTTCCTCTTCTCAACATGGACTGCGTGTTCCCGGGGCGGGGTTCATGTAAATTTTAGGGTTAGTGATGTCACTAACCCGGGAGGAAGCTCGTGTAGTTCTACCAGCCTCTTTGTTGTAGTCCTTAAAAAACGATTTCTTTAAAAGCAAATATCTCCCTTTGCTTTGAACTTTGAGCGTTGTAACTTTGCAGATGTTGTTAATGCTCAAACAGCAACATTACACACTAACTAAAGTTAGAAAAGTGAACTCATAATCTACCACCCCTTTAAAAGAAAGGATCACCCACAACTTCTGTCTGGTCCGCAAACTACGTTTCACAACCAAACACATAAGAAGTGATAAGGAAATAACGCAATCACACGTGCGCGAGACCGAAATTGCTATTAAGAATGATAGCCTGCAAGAAGAATATGCGATTCAAATTGCATGTGCACTGATTTGCAGAGAAAATGAGAAAAATAAAACAGATTATGCAGAAGAAAATGGTTGGGAGACACGGTTGGGAGATGCCATCAGCAGTTGAATCTGATGAAATTATAAATCTGAATAACTGAGTAAAAGATACAAGACAGATCTTGTGTATGTAATGATACTAATATTTTGCAGGTTCAGCACGTACATGTTGATACTAAAATTACGATCTTAATAAATCAATCACACCATGTAGTTACTCAGAAAAATCACATAATTTAAGTTTCATTAAAATAGGGTAAATGTTCCTGCATGAAAGCGCATGACAGCATCACACTGGGTATTTGAGTGAGCGTGTTGCTCAGACTGACAGAAACAGTGCTCACTGCACTCCACCCACAGCCAAACAACAATTACACCAGATAAGAGACATAAAGACAATCTTTTAACATTGGCTTGATGAAGCCTTGCCTGGAAAATGCAAAAATATATATCTGAAGATTATTTATGGACTTAAATTAATTTGGCATTTTGAAGAAAAATGTGAAGGCTTAAAGCTATGTGGCTGCAAGGGGGTTCAGAACTTCCTATGATGTTGATAGGCAGTTGCTAAGGTGTTCTAGGTGGTTGTTAAAGACCCACTCCGATGAAAATAATGTTTTTCTAGGTGTTAACATGTTCTTGTGGCATTTTTCTGATGTTAGAGGACATCTTGAGAAAAATCAGCTCAAAGTTGTATTTCTGAGTATTTCTACACACAAAATCATTCATGTTTAACTTACCTCCGGGCGATTCATGATCAGAGTCAGAGAGCGGCAACCTCTTGAACCACCACGTTCGCACTGGAAAACTTCTGCAGTCCCTAATTGGCCAAAATGCTCTGTTCGACTTTTCCGAGATCATCTACTCTTCCCTGTGACCTACTTTCTGTAAGACCTGAATTTTTGACATTGAATTTTTGACATTGAATTTTAGAAAACTGAATTTGACGTTCCGAATTTCTTTATCTTGAAAACTTGAATCCGTATTTTTTTAAACTGAAATTTTGCAGTATTTGAATTCAGAACACAAAAACTAGCTGTTTGAAAATACATGTCTATAAAATTCAGCCATAAAAACCTTTCAGTTTGTTAAATTTCAGATGTTCAATATTCGTTCCAAAAAAATTCAAATTCAGAACTATTTAAAATTCAGTTTTGTTAGATTACACTTGCAAATAATTCAAATTTACACAATTCAAATTCAAATCATTTTGTCATATTATTAGCTCCATATGAAGCGAAGTCCCAGAAAACGGCACAGGTTTTGTGATTTTGGCTAAAAATGGCATAATCATAATTTAAAGACCACTGGGAATGTTTAAAAATAGCTCAAAATATGATCGGAGTGGGACTTTAAGGTGTTGCTAGGTAGTTGCTAAGGTGTCTGAGTGCTTTCTAGAACATTGTTAAGCAGTTGCTAAGTTGTAAGTGGTTCAAAGCATTACTAGGTGATTGCTAGGCAGTTACTGAGATGTTCTGAGTGGTTGATAGGGTGTTGCTAGGTGGTTGTTAGCGTGTTTTTGTTTCTATGCAGTTGCAAAGGTGTTCTAGGTAGTTTCTAGGACATTGTAATGAAGTTGGCAAGAAGTTGTAAGTGGTTTAAGACATTGCTAGGTGGTTCCTCAGTGGTTGATAGGCACTTGTAAATGGTTGCTAGGGTGTTATGGGTGGTTGTAGTTTAAAAGCTCCAGGAGTTACGGTTAAAAATGAAAATGTTGATGTTTGTATGTAAGGGATTTTATACAATAACAGCATGTTTGCCTTCTCAAGCCAACATATACACTGTCTGTATCTGCTGAAATACAGTCAGCAGCCAAATAAAGCAATGTTGGTTACGTACCACAGCCACAGACTGAAGTAAATACAGAGCAAACTGTACATTTGTCTCATTCCACTGAATATCTGCACAGCCTCGAGCAAATACATGTCTGACCTCTTGTGGTCAGAGAATGAACTGCAAAATGAAAGCAGTTTTTGCATGTATATCATGTTCCCAAGTCAATCTAAAGAGCTGAAACAAATGCTAGTCATGCAACAAAATGAAACTAAGACAAAACAACCAAACCAATTTCAATAACTCATTATTGGCATATCCTCATAGTTTCACCTTGTGAGGAATAAACAGGGCGGACATCCTTCACACATCTTTAACTGGACCAATAACCAACAGAACAATAGTTGACTCACCTGAAAGTGCAGAATTATGGTCCATATTAATCCCAATGTCAGCTTTGGGTTTCCATCCGTTATGTCATCGTTCCTGATGTTCACCAGTTTCACCTGAGGACATTATACAGGTTATACAGTTATGATGAGTGATAAATAGGGGTGTAACGATATTTGAACCGAACCGAAAAACCGCGATACACCACCCACGATACGTATCGCGATACTCTCATGGCGAACCGAACAAGCCCCGCCCCCTGCTGCCCCGCCCCGGCTCATTGCACCTCATGTGTTATGTGTACACAACGAAAAGGGCTGTTGCCTAACCACCATTAACCACATATAATCGCAATAAGCTCAGTGTTTTGTTACTTTTGATAATAAGCAAGGTGTAATCTTTCAAATTATGTCTATTTGATCACGAAATGTAAACAATAAATGCCGTTTTGGCGCTCTTAGATGTGGCGTGACAGATATCACTGTATGCATGCGGATCATCTCTTCCTCAGTTACAGAATAAACATGAATGGACACCCGAAGGTATGTTGAAAGATACAGTATACTTACTGAAAGGCATCATAACTCGTGTAAACACTCAATCAGTGTTTCAACAGCGGAAATACGTCAATAAAACGCTTAGTTTTTCACATAGCTTTATATTTACCTCAGGCAAGTCATTCAGTGTCCACAGCTTGCTGGTTTGCTAACTCTTTCACTAAATAAATGCTATATATTAGCCTATATATTATATTTTACTTAACCTGTTTATGATATCTTGATTATTTAATGTATGTTTAAAATAGTTGTCATGAAAATAACAGCAACTGTGTAAATTATTATATAACATTAACAAATTAGAGTAAAAACATGTTAATGCAAAAATAGCCTTATGTGTAGTTTACATGTTTTCATACAATTTGTTATTTGAGTGTTGATTATTATTATTATATCATTTAGGCTAAAAGTCTAGGCTCTGTTGTTAAGCTTTAATGTTATAGTAATGTGCAAGTAAGGGCTGTAGTTTACAGCATTAGCAGATAATTTTGTTATCCTTGAGAAACGTTTACTTGTAATTGAATTAATTTAAAGACAAGGACACAATTTGTTCATTAAAGCACTGTTTAATAAAAAATAAAAGAACCGAACCGAACCGAGACCTCAAAACCGTGGGACGAACCGAACCGTCAGGTTTGTGTATCGTTACACCCCTAGTGATAAAACATAAGTGCTCTGAAAGCATTCCATGAAGACATGAAACACATGACTGCATATATAATGACATTTTAGTTTTAAATCAATGCATGTTTATACACAAAGACTCATACAAAACCATATGCAATTTAACTGTAATGAAATGTAAATTTCGTAAAATCATCAATGCCAAAACACATCAATATTGCAATGTGCAAGGCTATATTTTGGATTCAGTAAGATTTAATTGCTGCTCAATTTCATGGCCATTTAAATCTAATTCAATTCATTCTAATATAGATGCAAATGAGATGGGAATAAGTACTTGAAGTAGTGCTGTCAAATCAATCACTCACGATTAATCACATCTAACATAAAAGTTTGTAATATTTAATAATCATTTTGACAGCACTAACTTAAAAGGCATGTAGTATTATTTGTAATGTCCACAGAAGTACATGCAAGAGTGTTTTTATACTTCACACTTTACTATAGAATGTTTTTAATATGGTTTACAAACACATACATACTATAGATACATATATGGCCTAAACATTAAAAATACATGTTGATGGCAACAAGTCTTTTTATAATACTGCAATAAAAATCAATTTGTTTTCCAGAACTAATCTTTGGTTATATGGCTAGATTATAAACATAATTCTAAGAGCAATAAATCTATAACGCGGCTCGCCACACGAGGGCACTACAGTACAGAACTGATATTGGAGGAAAGGGGACTCTTGATTAGATTGTAAATTGCTTGCATAGTTTTAGATTTTCTGATTGAAATGGCCACATTTAAAGTGAACTTTCTACAATAATGGGCCAAGTTGTCAGACTGGTATTGCTGAAATTAATATTATTATTAGTTGCATTTGCAACTAATTTGGAAAACTCTCTTTATTGAGTTAGTCACTATTTTGCATCATGCTAAAAAACATCGGTAACACTTTACTTGACGGGGTGTGCATAAGACTGACATGACACATTCATAATCATGACATGACACATGTTATGAATATGAAGGAAGTTTTATGCATGTTTATGACAACTGTCATTAAGTGTCATTCGCTCAATTATGACATTTTGAATGCAAATATGACATTGTCTTTGGTATGACAACTTGACATAAACCAATACATCACAACCTGTCATAAATATGTCATAAACATGACATAGCAGATTAATTATCAAACTTAAGAAAGCATGCACTTAGCTTTATGGGTTAACATTACATTAAACTGTCATGTGGTTGGTTTTGACATTGGCTGTTATGAGGCATTATAACTGTGTCATGAATATTTTTCTTGACCTCAACTACAGTGGTACACATTGAATTTGTCATTAAAATGTTATAATGGCCTCATGACAGCCAATGTCAAAACCAACCACCTGACAGTTTAATGTAATGTTAACCCATAAAGCTAAGTGGTTTCTTAAGTTTGATCATTAATCTGCTATATCATGTTTATGACATATTTATGACAGGTTGTGTTGTCTTAGTAATGTCAAGTTGTCATGACAAAGACACTGACAGGTTATGATGTATTGGTTTATGTCAAGTTGTCATAACAAAGACATCTCAAACAATGTCATATTTGCATTAAAAATGTCATAATTGAGCGAATGACACTTAATGACAGTTGTCATAAACATGCATAAAACATCCTTCATATTCATGACATGTGTCATGTCATGATTATGAAGGTGTCATGTTAGTCTTATGCACACCCCTTCAAGTAGTGTTACCAAAGCATCTCCATACCCATGATCAAATCACAGGTACGCACTTATGTATGACTTGTAGCTTATTGCGTTAATATTCATTGGTTGTAATGCTAATAATGAAAACAAAACAATGAATGAGGATTATGTGCTGTGAATCATAATAATAGCCTGCAGTGATGACTATATCACAGCTTTCCCACAACTGTAACCATGCTTGTTCTTGGATAAGCAATGATTTCTTAGGTGCATATTTCACAGAAATATTTTTATGGCCTATTGAAGCAATTACAAATGAGATGTCGTGCAATATTGTATGTACAGTCACCGCTAAAGGGCATTGTAAGGCAAGACTATCTCAAATGTTTATGATTTATGATGTCAAAGTCTGCTTCCTCATCTTTCACTGATCCTCTTGAGTAGAACTGCTCGGGTTTGTATTTTTAGAAATAGCCAAATTTAGATTTGTTGGCCCTCGGCACATTATCTATTGCAGATCTATTTTCTTTGGAAGAGAAAAATAAATAAATATTGTGACTGACAATTTTGTAAAAGGAAATAGTTATTCCTTATAAACTTATAGAAGTAGAAAGTGAATATCCTCAATGCATTGTTTATCAAAAACTCTTAACAGAAAAACTATATTTGTGAATGTTTACCCATGAGGAAACTTGTGACTTTCAATTATGGGAAACACGTGCAACATTAGATGCAATTTACAATAATTTAGTTGAAACTTGTGAAATTAGACTGGTGAAAAACTGCCTCTGAGGGAACAAATTAGCATAGTTTTGAATTGCAAATGTAACTAACAGTAGCATTACTGCAAATTATTTACATTATCAGGATACTCAGAACTGCAGTGAGTTTTGCTTGTAAATTATATTTCATTTTTGTTAAGCTTCAATGACTTTACGAAGACTGCAAATGACTCCACTTTTCTATATTTCACATAAGTGCTGCAGAAAAATATACACAGAAATATAAACTTATTTAATCAAAATTGGTAATCTGCATGACAAGGCCATAACCATGTCTTGAACATTGGGGGACCAAAGTTTTTTTGGGGTTTTTTTGTTGGTCTTTTTGTGTATTAAAAAATTAAATACTTAGAGAACTTATTTTATGTGTCAATCTTATTTTTTATTCCCTTAAATAATTGTGAGGTAATCAATTTACTTGCAAATCACACACTCTCTTATGTCAAAACGCAAAACTTTTTGTCTTGTCACATTCATTTATGGATTACATGTATCATTCGAGACGGTGAAATTTCACAGAAGAGTTGAGTAGTTTGTATTACTAGATTTTTCTTTCGGTCGTTAAACATTTCTATTGTAAAACAGTTGTGAGATATAAAATGTTCAGGCATCTCACATGCACTCGTTCGCTGTTAGAAATAAAGCGTATTCGCACTCATCTTCAGTGAACAGTAAGCCCCGCCTTCTTTGATTTGATTGGCCATCACACACATGTTGACATTGACAAGTGCAGTAAGAGACAGAACAGCCTACAAATGTCAAACATCAAGAATATCGGTAACACTTTACAATAAGGTTCATTAGTTAACATTAGTTAAATGTATTAACTAACATGAACTAACAATGAGCAATACATTTGTTACAGTATTTATTAATCTTTCTTAATGTTAGTTAATAAAAATACAGCTGTTCATTGTTTGTTCATGTTAGTTCACAGTGCATTAACTAATGCTAACAAATACAACCTTTGATTTTAATAATGTATTAGTAAATGTTATAATTAATATTAACTAAGATTAATAAATGCTGAAGAAGTATTGTTCATTCTTAGTTCATGTTAACTAATGTAGTTAAAACCTTATTGTATAGTGTTACCAGAATATCAAATATTGAGTGGCACAATTTGGCCATTTAAAATTCTCAATGTCCACGACCCTGCTGCATGAAATGAACTGCATAACATAATAAAATCCCGCTACTTGTGTTGATTATTGTTCTCACTGGTCTTACCTGTCGTCTTTTTAAATAGTCGAGTGCGATCTGTACATTCTGGAGTCTGTGGAAGCGCATGCGACCCTTCTCTCGCGGCTGTGAGGGAGAGAGAGAGAGGAGAAGCCATCAGTACATGTATGATCACACACATCGAGCTCTCGGCACACACACACACACTCACCGTACCGACACACACAAGCTCTGCCTGTGGAGGAGAGAGAAACTCACACAGAGAACTACTGCACATCAATCCCTCTCTGAATGCCTGACTAAAGCAGATGATGCTTCTTGCTAACTTCACACATGTACATGACAGGTTTGCACTAAGTTTTATGAAGCCTTGAAGAAACACAAAGCCAAACGCAAGGTCAGAGACGCAGAGTGGGCCAAGACTGATGCGGGAAGCAAAACAAATCGGAATTAAGCAGGTGTAAAGAAAGAGAAAATCTCCACTGTCCAGCTGAAACAAAAAAAGCCTCAATTCAGCTCTTATCAAACTTAATGTACAGTACAGTGTGCCTTAAAGAGAAATGAGATCCGCTGAGCAGATGATGGATGACCTTTAGCGAGTCATCGTTTGCTTTGCCCTTTAGTGCAACCGAGTCTGGAAGTAAAGGACTGTCATTAGTTCCATGTGTTTTGTCCACAGAATAGTCAGAAATGACTAAATGTTCTATCAAGATTTCCATCACATGAAATGACACTTTTGATTAAAGACAAGTGTGTGTAATTTTCTAAAATCATGATGAACATTAAAGGACCCCATGAAATGCTTTGACAAATACAGATGGCACAGCAAAAACTAATACTGGGCTAACTAATGCAAGTAAAAAAGTCCTCAAACAATAGTAATAAAATAAGAACAAATAATCAAATTATAAGCAATAGAGCGCTGCAGTGATGACGTAGTTTATGTAGTTCGCAATCGCATCACCCTGGATCCCTCGACAAAAACTCGATAAGATTTTTCCATTGGCTTTTGGATTATAGCAAAAAATAAGCTTTGTGACCAACAAAAGTTTATGATTAATTTATTACATATTAGTATTTTTCTGCCTAACGCTTTCAGCTCTGTGATTGGTGGTCCAGCTGTGAAGTTACCAAGCAATAGCGAGTCAATGAGAGACTAATTTTAAATGACAGGAAAATCGACCAATCATATTGTCACTTTAAATGGGTGGGGCTTGTTATCATTATGTTTATGATGCGTCCTGCCCACTGTGGCGAACACCATAAAAAAAATTAATGAGGAAATCGTTGCTAATTTATTATCCATGCCGTTTTCAAGATACATTTTTAAAGAAAAGCTGGATTTAGCAAATTAGGCTTCATTTGTGCAGAAAGCCAAGGCTTTTTAAAGCATTTCAACCCCAGTTATTATAAGCAAATCTAGCCCTGGATGACAGCATCAATCTAGAGGCTAAAGCTTTCCTGATGGAATTGTTTGCTGTTTCGGTAAGTTATTTAAAATCTAATAAGTTACGTGACTGAATTTATTCTGGCCACTGCTGCCACTGTTTTATCCATGTTAAGCTTTATTTGAGAAAACAGTTATTTTACAGAACTACTGGTCAGTCTGTAAATTTACTAACTCAGTGACCATGCTGTAATTCTGCATAATAGTTACATTTTTCCAAAATCATAAGTTTAATATGGTCCGTAACATACAGTACATTAAATCGGCTGATGATATGATATGATATATAATCAACATGCAGAAGAGTCATGATGCATTGGCTTACATAAAATTGTGTTGGTTTTGTGGCCAGTTGCCACACCGATTGTGTGATGATGCAATTATTTGTTATGATGATTTGCACTGTATTCATTTTTGTTTAATTTTGGTGATAACTCTCATGCTCACTCTGATGTTTGCATGTGGTGTTTCTTTTCAAATGTAACATGCAGTATTATAGAAGAGGACACAGTAAGCTAGGCTGAGTTTACTTTTTTCCCGACGAGTGAAGGGGGTGAGAGGGCTAAAGTTCGAGAGTCACGGTTCGCTACTGCAGTATATACAAACTTCAAACTCAAAACGTACTTGGTTACTTACGTAACCTAGGTTCCCTGAGATACGGGAACGAGCACTGGGTCGCTAGACGCTGTTATGGGTAAAAACTCCTTTTTCTCCAAATTCTGAAGCCTTTTTATTCACGCAGCGAAACTGCACGGCCATTGGTTAATGCAGATCAATAAAAACAAACCAATGGCGAGGCAGCGGAGCTGCACGAGCCTATGGCAGAGAAGCCCACCAGACCGCTCCAGAATGGGCATAAATTTTGACTGAAGCGACGAACTCGGAGTCGTGCAGCAATATAGCATGGCCTGAAACGCAGTACTCGTTCCCGTATCTAAGGGAATCGAGGTTACGTAAGACGTTCCCTTTCGATACTTTACTCGTACTCCATTGCTAGACGCTGTTATGGGGAACCAATACAATCACGCCGTGCTATGACTGCGGAACAACTTAATGTTATACTTGGCCTTGAGCCGTTAGCAGAGCCTAGAGGAACCAAGACATAATAGGGGATACTCGTTTCACTAGGGGCTCAGACGTAGGTCGGAGCCGCCTAGGAACGGAAGAGCTTGTGGAGGTCTATCCTGCCCTAGACAATTGTTCCAAGAAAAACCTGTATGGCCTAGGCACTAGAAGGGCCGAGAGCTGGTCAGGTAAGAGGAGGCAATAGCCCAGTCCAGTGCCAATAGTCCAGTGGCCCGGACCTTGATCGGAGCCACGAAGGTATTATAGCAATAGGTCAGGGGTGCCCAATCCTGCTCCTGGCGATCGACTGTCCTGCACAGTTCATCTCCAACCCTAATCAAACACACCTGAAGCAACCAATTAAGGTCTTCAGAGCACGTCATGATCACTTGAAAATTAAAGGCAGGTGTGTTTGATTAGGGTTGGAGATGAACTGTGCAGGACAGTCGATCGCCAGGAGCAGGATTGGGCACCCCTGCAATAGGTGATAGCCACAGAGTTACCCCATATAGTAGGGGGGAGAGTTCATAGTGGTTTGGGCTTAGCTGAGACCAAATCCACTAGACAGAAAGGACTTGTCCCTATAGAGCAGGGACTTCTAGATTGTAGAACCCAGTAAATGTGGACGGCGAGGACCAGCCGGCTGCCGCACAAATGTCACCAATGGACACGCCACTGGACCAGGCCCAGGACGAGGCCATGCCTCGGGTGGAATGAGCTCTTACTCTGATGGGGCATTGTAGGTCCATCAAGGAGTAGGCTAGTGCAATAGCATCCACTATCCATCTGGATATCCTCTGCTTCGTGACTGGATGCCCTTTGGTGCGGCCTCCAAAGCATACACTGTTCCGTGTGTCTAAAAGAGGCGGAAAGCTCTATGTATATTCTCAAAGCCCTGACAGGGCAGAGTAAATGCAGCTCTCGCAGTGAGAGCAGCTGGTCTCTGTGAGTGCAGCCTCAGCGTGGTATTTCCCCAGGCATGAGGCGCACTCGCTGTGCTCGTCATAAGCATCCAGAAGTCCCCTGCACGAGCCACAGTGGTGGCGCGACATTTGAAACAACGTCGCAATTTGCTCTTTCAGAGAGTGAAATAAGCTCTTTTTTGAAGGAAAAAAGCTCTTTCAGACTCGCCGGATGGCGGCAGAGGAGATCGCTGAATCAGGCTGCTTGCAGGCGCGGTGAGCGAGCAGTGGGCGGGATCGGCGGTGAGCTGATGCCGGCGCGCTGATTCAGTTGCATCCGCTGCTTTGCTGGTCAACGGCGAGAAGGCTTGAATCCTCGAAGTGTCAGCGAAGAGAAGTGTCGTCGCTGAAGGAGAATTGATCTGAGGATCCTATGCCAGAACGCCTGCTTTTATATCCAGATGCCACACCCATTCTGGAGCGCTCTGGCGGGCTTCTCTGCCATAGGCTCGTGCAGCCCCGCTTCCTCGCCATTGGTTAGTTTTATTGCTCTGCACGAACCAATGGCCGTGCAGTTTCACTGTGTGATTACAAAGGCTTCAGAATTCAGTTTTCTGCATAACAGTACGAGTAAAATATCGAAAGGGAACTTTGATTTCATGGGGTCTTTAACACACTCTTGAAGCGAAAGGAACTTGAATCAGGCCTTTAGTTCACAGCTCAAGCTTCTGTGTTGAGAAATGACCAAGCTGGCATTCTAGAGCTCTCCACAGAAACCCCAGAAGGCAATATTTAGTGATCATGAACATGATATTTACCCATCCCTGTGTCTTCAACCTAACTATCGGGTGAATTTGTAAATATGGGGAAAGTTCTAGATGCCTACAGTCCACTAATGAGAAGCCAAGCTTCTCTGGGTTCAGCACTCCAGTTAATATCACAGCACTCGCTACATTAGTCCTGTTACTGAGGGGGCAGGAGGACACGTGTCCACACATACCCCCTTATCCTCATCATCATCATCATCGTGGTCACGTCCATGCCGCTCAACCGTGCATGCGTCAGCCGCACTCACCAACCGTAACGTCTTCAGAAAATCACGCTCCCTTGGCTTACCGTGAGAACGTGAGCACGAGAGAGAGACACACATACAGACACAGAAACAGGAGGACACATAAGAGATGGACAGAAGAAGAAAATGAGAAGGACAGAAGACAAGGAGGAAAAGAAACAGGGTGTCAACAAAAGAAAGGGGGCACTCCTCTACAGTGGTGAGAAGGTCTATCCGCAGCCAAACTAAAGACTCACATTACAAAATGACCGGACTTAACAGTTAAAGCTTTTGGAGGAATTCTCAGTCAAATTAAACTCAATCCCTCAGTTTTAACAGAGTTTATGGTTTCTAAGATGCTTTGGATAAAAGAATCTTCTAAATGAATACATGGAGGTGTAATGTCAATCATTTGATCCAGACTAAATCTAAATATATATATATATAATTGATTATAGCTGCAAGCAACAATTACTGGGCTGAGCCAAAGTTGGGCTGAATTCTGATTGGTTGTCCAATTATGGTGATTGTTTTTGGCTGTTGGGAAAACATATTCCATCGTATTCTGTAGGACCAACGGAAGAGAAAGAGGTTAGATTTATAGCCATCAGATGAAATTCAAAAAAGCTAAAATAATTATTGCAACTTTGGTTATTTTTTTTACCACTAAATGGCACCAACCCAAAATTTGACAGGTGGCTTCAGGGACTAGTGCCGAAGACACATACCAAGTTTTGATTATATCAATTAATATTATAACTTTTGGTCGAACTGTTTAGAAGTTATAAGCAAACATAGCCAGTGTTCATTTCACTTGACTTGTAGGAGGCGCAGCTCCAAAACTGTGCAAGTACCCTCAAGTCATGTTTCTGATGACAGGTACAAAGTTTCATCCCAAAAAGCAGAGATACAGCCTCATGCCCACTTTGGCACGTTTGTCATCAAATTCTTAAGACAATTTGTCAGGAACGATTTCGTATATTGCAAAAAAGTGATATTTGTTTTTGGCTCAGCCTCACAATCATCAAAGCAAAATTTTGGGAAGGTTGGTCAAAATTTGTTCAAATTTTAAAAAATGTAGGGGGGAGGTAGTTGTAAACATGGCATGCTCTGGATCCAGAGGGGGGAAATCATTTTGTTTCTAGGCCTTATTGTTCAAAAGTTATTAGTGCAAACATCAGTGCATCTTTGGCCCATTGGTGGCGGTGGAAGAAAGATAGAAACTCAAAATGTGTAATGGTTAAAGTTTAGACTCTCCTCTATCTATGTGCCAATTTTCACGTGTTTCGACCGAACATAAGCTGTCATAAACTTTCTCTCAAGAATAATAATAAGAAGAAGAAAACTAACAGTAAACAAACTAATAAAATATAAAAAGAATAATATGGGCACAGCTCAATGCAAACTGAAGAGAATTATTATATTGAACTCACAATCAGAAGAATGAATTATTACTTGCATTGTTTCCCTTAGGATTAATTGCTGATGATGGTTATAAAACATTTTCTGCTAGATAAATAATTGTGAACTATTTTCTAAAATGGAAGATCTCGAAGCAGTGTGTTTTTTGTTTTTTTCAAGTTTCCATAACTCGAGTCATTGTTTTGGATGACTTGAATTGTGTGCTTGTAAACTTTTGATCCATGTTGCACAGTATGTACACTTCTTCACAAGTCTGACATACTGCTGAACCTTCAAAAGACTGCGGATGCTCTCGTGAAGGTTTCCGTGTGACGTGTACAGCCATTAATCTTAGGCACTGACCCAGTTGTTTGACATACTGCTGTCCTTGAGTTATAAACGGGTTGAATACAATTGTTCTTCCTGTTGTGATGGAGTATTTACAATTAGACAGGAAGTTAGTGATGGACTTGTTGAAGCGTTTTTTGTTGTTGTTGTTGTTGTTTGTCTGTTTATTTGTTTGTTTTAAGTCATTAAGTTTAAGTCACAGCCCAGTTAAATATGGCTAGACCAGCATACTGTCTTTGCCAGCTAACAGGCATTGACTAAAAGCCACAAAATTATTTCATGAGGTCTTAAAAACAAAATATATTACACACAATCCCAGACCTGTCACATATAATCTGCTAGTGCACTGTAAAGCACATCTGATGCTGAATGAGGATTCCTCCAAAGCTGACACTGAATGTATTGTAACACAATACACAACTGGACCTGAATTAATGTAAAAGTGCACTAGTGTGTAAATATGCAAAAGCATGTTCACATATTACACTATTAACACAGATGTTTTAGCTGCCGTAAAGCATGAGTGTGCAGGAACTGGTTACGTCACTTTTAGCAAAGCTTTTCAGTGTGTGAGCGCACATTTAATCCGCCTGTTGTATTAGTAACACACACACACACACACACACAGATGTGGACTGGTGTGGATGGTGAATCTAAGATGCCCCCTTCAAAAACAGCGAGTGACTGCACAGGTGTTCAAGTATTCCGCTTCAAGACTGCTTTTCAAGTGTTTCAGATTCAGTGATTATTGATCAGTACTCACCAGTGTCTCACCGGACAACACCTCCAGAAGGGAGATCAGGTTATGTCCATCTCGCAAATCCTCATACAGGTCGTTCACGTGCTTTCGTACCTGCCACAAAGTGAGAAGAGAATGTATGAAAACATCAATCTATCTGTAAGGGATGTAACAATTCAGATGTTCTTGGTGCATTGGTTACAAATCCTGCCAATGCATAGATCTTGAGACATGGGTTTTTGAATCATGAATTTATTTGTTTTGGTCAATAATTGATTTCAGATGCTAAAAATTAAATGATAAGCAGGAAAGAATCATTTAATATTTAACATTAAATTAGTTACAAGTGTGAAATAATGAGTCTGTCTATCTATCTATCTATTGATCTATCTTTCTATCTATCTATCTATCTATCTATCTATCTATCTATCTATCTATCTATCTATCCATTGATCTATCTATCTATCTATCTATCTATCTATCTATCAATCTATCTATCTATTGATCTATCTTTCTATCTATCAATCTATCTATCAATTGATCTATCAATCTATCTATCAATCTATCTATCTATCTATCTATTGATCTATCTATCTAGCTATCTATTGATCTATCTTTCTATCTATCTATCTATCTATCTATTTATCTATCTATCTATTTATCTATCTATCTATCTATCTTTCTATCTGTCTATCTGTCTATCAAATGATCTATCTTTCTATCTATCAATCTATCTATCTAGCTATCTATTGATCTATCTTTCTATCTATCTATCTATCTATCTATCTATCTATCTATCTATCTATCTATCTATCTATCTATCTATCTATCTATCTGTCTGTCAAATGATCTATCTTTCTATCTATCAATCTATCTATCTATCTATTGATCTATCTTTCTATCTATCTATCTGTCTATCCGTCTGTCTATCAAATGATCTATCTTTATATCTATCTATCTATCTATCAATCTATCTATCTATCTATCTATCTATCTATCTATCTATCTATCTATCTATCTATCTATCTATCTATCTATCTATCTATCTATCTATCTATATATCTATCTATCTATCCATCTATCCTTCTATCTATCTATCTATCCATCTATCTATATTTCTATCTTTCCATCTATCTATCTATCTATCTATCTATCTATCTATCTATCTATCTATCTATCTATCTATCTATCTATCTATCTATCTATCTATCTATCTATCTATCTATGATACAGGAGAATTTATGACAATCATGTCATAAATAAGTTTCCTTTAAGGACTCGCAGGTGATCCTTTCACTGGGAATCATCTCCAGAAATGAATGGTATTTGAAAATTAAAAAATATTTGACAAGCCGTATGCATTTAGTCATTGTGCAAATTGTAGACAATTATACTTACTCTTTTGCACACGTGACAAAGCACATGCAATTTGCTTAAATCAATAAGAAATTTAAATCTGATGTGAACGAGAAACTAATTGTTCAGAGATCTGAACTTATTGTTTTGAGAGAAAAACTCTCATTTGAGAATGGAGCCAAAGCGATTGATAAAAACTGTACAAGACAAAGGACCTGATCACGCTCGTGTTATGACTGTGAGACACCAGTGCACCTTGAAAAAGGCCTGTTTAAGCTCACCAGCAGTTCTGACAAACGCCAAACCAGTTCATATCTGCACTTACTGTAACAAGAACAGATATTAATCATTTAGTCATAGTCAAATAATCATTGCTTGTCATTGTAAGAGGATGTTTTTCACAACTAATCATCCCTTCTGCTGTGTTGAAAGCTCTTTTATCCCTCACATACACATACAGGATTGTAGCGTTTCCCAACAGTAAACACTAGCGCTCCCGTGAGACGCTGGCTAACGACAGACGTCTCATCCGAAGGCCTTTCGCTACTGTGTGACCGTCGTCCTGAATACCACACCGCTGAAGTCCCCTCTCTGCCTTACTGACCTGCTTTCACCCAGGTCCTCCTCGCGTTCATGATTCCCAGCAACCACAGCTGCATGACTAAAATAGATGTTTAAACTTGGGATCTGGGTCAGTCCGTCACGCTTTACCATGAGCTGCTAGTGCTAGCATAACAAATATTAGTAGTAGAGGTGACTCCAAAACTGCAAAATGTGTAATAATACTGATATCTGTGCTGGAAAAAATTAAAAACTCAGTTTTAAAAACGTATCTTTTTACCTTAGCTTTTAGTTAAGGGTATTGTACATTGTAGTTATAACTTATTTTTATCTAGTTGTATTTCTCTCTACACTGAACTCATTAAACAGTTGTGTGAGGGGCATGTCTAAGAGTGTGTAGTCATGCCTTCATCTGCTAGGCTTGATACATGTTTTTATACAATATTTTTATTGGTTTTAGTTAACTGTGAAGCACTTTGGGCAACAACGTTGCTGTTAAATGTGCTATATAAATAAATAAAAGTTGAAGTTGAAGAAAAATATTGATATGATTTATTGTTATATTGTCCGACTGTCACTGATGTGTGGCTGTAGTAAAGCGCACAACTATACAGAGTCTAACCAAAGTCTTTAATCTGATTATTTGTGTATCCGATTGGAATCGGATCTAAATTATTGACTGTCCACACTGTGTATCACGACTGTTCAGTTCAGGTTTGTGTGTCCCGTGGCGCTCTTTCGTTTTCCGGAAAATCTGCATTGGTTTCTATGGTATACGCCAAAAACAACAACAACCGCAACATGAAGGGGTTTGCAATACAGATTTACAACATGACTGTGTACCCGCCGCATCATCTGTACTGACTTAAACAGAGATTAACATTCATTCACATGCGGTGATAGTGGCGTATGCACAAAAGTTCAATATAATGCCTTTTCAAGAAATCACAGAAAGATAAGCGAGAAGAGCCTGCTTCACATTTTCACAGCGAGTAAAGCGGCACCTGATGCTTCCCATTTCCAGGACACACATATTTCATCACTGGACTATAGTGAGACCTTCAATGACACAAACCGACACAATGCCAAATGATTCTGTCTCATTATAACAGCAGAAACAACTTGAAATACTCCGTCATGTACAGGTGAAACTCGAAAAATTAGAATATCATGCAAAAGTTCATTTCTTTCAGTAATTCAACTTAAAAGGTGAAACTAATACATTATATAGACTCATTACATGCAAAGTGAGATATTTCAAGCCTTTATTTGTTATAATTGTGATGATTATGGCTTACAGCTTATGAAAAACCCAAATTAAAAATTAGAATATTGTGAAAAGGTTTTCATAAGCTGTAAACCATAATCATCACAATTATAACAAATAAAGGCTTGAAATATCTCACTTTGCATGTAATGAGTCTATATAATATAATTTTGGGAGTTTCACCTGTACGGTCATACAGATTAGAGTAAGACATCATTGGAAACTGTAAAGGGTCTGTTTTTATTTGTGTGCTCTCAATAAACCAAATCATTAAGAAAACAAACAGGAGGATGCTTCTTTCTGCCGTCCTGGTTTCCCTTCGTGAAGTTAGTGGAGCACATCACAGAAATGACTGGAAACTCGGCATATGGGCTACTAGCTCTTGTGCATAGATCTCCATAATAAAGGCTAGATGTCTTACGGCGGAGTCTCTATCGTCATCACTGGCGGCCATCTTGTCACAGGCAAGCTTTCTGGCGGGCTCTGTTGTGCCTGATGTAAGATGAGTGATCAGCACGAACACAAATACTCTTATCTCGTTGAAATCTTGACGGATTTACAAACGGTTTGGTTTCTTAAAAACATTAACGTGGCTTTAATTCTGGATGCTTGAACATGTTGAAATTGCAGCTTTTCTTTTCGAAAAACGACTTAATCGTGCAGCACAGTTGTGTATCACGGCTACAGTACTTGCGCAAGTTATCAAGGCTAATCGAGCTGTTCAATTATATAGGTTTTACTGACACCAATAACGATTTAATGACAACTAATCTTTTGTCTAAATTACAATCTTTGTGGATGTGGTTGTAGTTATTAGCTGGCTAACAGCTAACGTGACCTTTTAGTAGCCTATATATTGATTTAACATAAATAGCATAAATACCTTGTGCGTGTGTATATTCATTGGACCTATCTGTTCTGTTCAATGTTATTTTCATATGGAAGTCCATGGTTATAATTATTCATAAGTATGCAGTATCATAACTACATCTCTGACGTTTATAACAAACCAAACCGTTTGAAAATCGGTAGAAAATTGAGCAAGTTATCGTTATTTAAAAAGTACATGCACCATTAAAACACAATGTTAGAGTGAGCAAGCTGCCTGTGACAAGATGGCCGACCTCCATTGGCCAGCAGCGCGGACGAGACATCTAGCCTTTATTATGGATATCTATGCTCTTGTGTGCCATCTAAACTCGGATCATCTCTTCTTCTTCTGCTCTTTTTCCTGTTGTGGCGGTTAGCAAACAGTGTTGCATTACCGCGCGCGCCCCCTTCTGGACTGGAGTGTGTATCGCCTGTGACTGACTGTGTTCATCATCTTGAGTGTATGAACCGAACCGTGACGTCTGTACCGAGGCGAATACATGTGCCGCTACACCCCCAATATATAATAATCCTCTCTGAACAGTTCACTCAAGTCATGTAGAACTTTCCACAGAGTAAACTATAATAATTATCATATCAAATTATCCAACATGTTATTACTTGTTTTTCTTTATGGTGAATTATCTTGCTACCTTATTGACAGTAATTATAATGACAGTAATAACAACAAATCTATCTATGAAGTCTATCTGATTGCAGATGTGTCTTAAATTGAAGATCACCGGACATGCTGTTACTTGCCATCTTGGATAAGTTTGTTGCCTAGGAGTGCCTGAAATGAAGTCTAAATGAATACAAAACATTTTGCAGAGAGTTGAAAAGGTAGTTAAATCTCGTATGGAAAATACTGAAAGTAAAACAGGTTTGACTGAGTAATATTATACCTGTTAGTCACAATAAAATGAGCTAGACGACTGCTTTTTATAGAAGAAATGGTATATTCTGCATATCATGGGATATGCGAAGCATGTGCTTCACGGTTAATAAACTGATCATGTGATCTAACATTTATTATGGGACTCTATTTTGAAATTAAGGTTGTCCTGTAAATGCCCTGAAGACTTTGGCACACCTGAAGAACTAATGAAGTGTTTCCAGGTCCCACCCAAACAGAACTAAAGCACATGTTAACACCTTCCTTCTCAGAGTTCATCGTTCGTACATTTATAATTGTTTGTTTGTTGCTAAAATTCAGATCACAACATATTGTTCTGTTTCTCCAACCAACAGTCATACACAACCCCGATGCCATACACACAAGAGAAGCAGACGTACCTTAAAGAGGTGCTGATTGATCCATTTTGTAAAAGTCTTTTTCTGGACTCTGTCTCTTTCATCTGAAAAACAAGAGGGATTGATGTTAGGACTGCTTTCAGAATGAATGTAGCATTGGCATCATATCCAGTTGTAGTGATGTTACATTTGTTTGTTTATTTATTTAATAAGGGACAATGCACATTAATGAACATAAGGACAATGTCCAAATGTAAATGAGCCAGATTTAGTCGTACAGAGAAAGTAAGATTTGACACTGAAGCTTCAAAGCGCGTATCGAGTACGTAGCGCAATTCCTCATGAAGCGCGTATTGTTTTCAGAGAAACACGTGATCAGCGAAAAACGAAGCCTCACTTTCTTTCCAGTCACTTGAATGCTTCACGGTAACACTTTACTTGAAGGGGTGTACATAAGACTGACATGACACCTTCATAACCATGACATGACATATGTCATGAATATGAAGTAAGGTTTATGCATGTTTATGACAACTGTCATTAAGTGTCTTTTGCTCAATAATGACATTTTGAATGCAAATATGACATTGTTTAAGATGTCTTTGTTATGACAACTTGACAGAAACCATAACATCATAACCTGGCAGTGTCTTTGTCATGACAACTTGACATTAAATTAAGTTAAACTGTCAGGTGGTTGGTTTTGACATTGGCTGTCATGAGGACATTATAACTGTGTCATGAATATTTTTCGTGACCTCAACTACAGTGGTACAAATTGAATTTGTCATTAAACAGTTATAATGGTCTTATGACAGCCAATGTCAAAGCCAACCACCTGACAGTTTAATGTAATGTTAACCAATAAAGCTAAGTGGTTTCTTAAGTTTGATAATTAATCTGCTATGTCATGTTTATGACAGGTTGTGTTGTCTTAGTAATGTCAAGTTGTCATGACAAAGACACTGACAGGTTATGATGTATTGGTTTATGTCAAGGTGTCATAACAAAGACATCTCAAACAATGTCATATTTGCATTAAAAATGTCATAATTGAGCGAATGACACTTAATGACAGTTGTCACAAACATGCATAAAACTTCCTTCATATTCATAACATGTGTCATGTAATGATTATGAAGGTGTCATGTTAGTCTTATGCACACCCCTTCAAGAAAAGTGTTACCACTTTTTTTTTTTTTATAAATAAGCCCATAGCCTATGTTACATGATCATATATTCTGACACATAAACAGCTTGGAAACAGTAAAATAATTACACCAACATTTACTTGCATCAAGCACAACTCTGTTGGTATTTTTATAATTAGTATTCATATAATTGTTACATTTATTGCCACACTTTAATATGTGAATTATATTATCAGAAAACTGAATATTTAGCGTTGTCAGGCTTTTATTTGTGCTAAAACAACGGCGCTGCTCATGTGCTGCGTTCAAGTCACTTTCGTCGGTGTAAGATGGCGGAGTACTTTCTCTTAAATAATTACACTAAAATACAGTACGGTTTTTAAACTCTTGTTCTAGAAAATAAAGAACAAAAGAAATGTGCATCAGGTGTAGGCTACTTTTTTTTTTTTTTTTTTTTTATGAAGCCACTGCCATACATGTTGCATTGTTATATTATAATGCCATCATATTGTGTGTAGGCATTAGCTCACTGCGCTGTAAATAGAAAAGCCGGACAATAACACTGAATACCTTAAGTATTGTGGTATTCCGCCATGTTTATCACTGACACGCCCCCAACTCGTGAAGATCGGGGCTTAGAGAAAATCCCGAGCTTCCCACTGGTATTTACGACATTGTGGTGGTGTTCAAGTGCGTTCAACTTGTTAATACGATCTATACGAGATGACTTGAACGAATCAATAAACATGGCTGCTATAAATTTGACCGGCCACAAAATGGCGAATCTTTTCCCGAAACATTCAGGGGAAAGCCTCTGTGCTTCATTTGCCCATCCGTTATCCCTATCCAGTTGGCTATTACACCTCATACTGGCTCAACCAATGGCACGAATACTTTTATTGTATTACAGTAAAGATGATTGTAAAACTATTATTGATTTTAAATCATCATAAAAGCAATACAACAAATGCTAGGCTAGCATGATACTAGTTTGTGTTTATGTTTTATTGGGACTCTTATTTTGAAATGTTTATATCCTGCACTCCAAAAATATATATATTTAAACATTCAGCTAAATGTAAACTTTAATTTTGGTTTTGGTGTTTTAGTACAAAATTGATTTCAGTGCATCACATCACTACATAAAATTAATTTATTTCAAAAAGAAAACCATACTTGAACAAGAAGTGGGAAGACCTGTTAATGTATTAATCTGAAAATTTAATGTATAAAATATAAAATATACATGTAATGTCTTATATAAAAACGCCATTAGATTAAAATAGTATGTACCCATTCTGGTTAGTTTTACAAAAACTACAACCTGGAAAACATACTAATGTTAGCTGATGAAAAACATACTAATGTTAGCTGGCATTTGAGTAGGGTTGCCAACTGTCCCGTATTAGCCGGGATCTCCCGTATATTGGGCCTAATTTGATCTAACCACTGACTGATTCAACAGCAACACGACACTTGAGAATGATCACGACACCGGTCATCATCCAATCACAGCGCTGCCTCACGCACATCAGATCATACCAATCACAAACTCTACATTGAGAATTTATTATTCTTTTGGGACAAATCATTGTTTGATTTGAGAACAGGATCCTCTGCTGTCGTCGCTCCCGGTTCGATCCGGACTCGCACTAACGGCTAATCCCTTCCACTGTCCGGCCGGGTTTTGATTTCGGCAAATCAGTTTTGGCGAATTCAAACAACGTGATTATTGTTCATGAGTCTAACATCGGCCACGCAAGAAAACATGAACTCTTCCTGAGGGAATCATATGCTGATGTGATTTGCTGCTCAAGAAACTTCTGATTATTATTAATGTTAAAAAAAATAAGTCAGGATTCTATGACGAATAGAAGGTTCAAAGAAGATTTATCTGAAATAAAAAAGTTTTTTTGACATTATAAATGTATGGAAGCTTGTTTCCGCCACTGAATAAAAAAAAATAATTGCTACTTTTTATCTCACAATTGCGAGATATGAATTTAGAATTGTGAGAAATAAAGTCGCAATTGCGAGAAAAAAAGACAGAATTGCGACTTTTTATCTCACAATTCGGACTTTTTTTCTCACAATTGCGAGTTTACATCTCGCAATTCTGACTTTATAACACATAATTGTGAGTTTATATCTCGAAATTCTGACATCTTTTCTCAGAATTGTGAGATATAAACTCGCAATTGCGAGTTATCAGGCCAATTAAGGGGAAAAAAGACGAACTTTTTCCCCCTCAGAATAGTTTATATCTCACAATTCTGACTTTACAACACGCAATTTCGACTTTATATCATGCAATTCTGACTTTATTACACGCAATTCTGACCTTATATCTCGCAATTCTGAGAAATAAAGTCAGAATTGCGAGATGTAAACTCGCAATTGTGAGAAAAAACGTCCGAATTGTGAGATAAAAAGTCGCAATTACCTTTTTTATTGTTCATTCTGTGGCGGAAACAAGCTTCCATATAAATGTCTTTACTGTCACTTTTGATTAATTTAATGCGTTCTTGCTGAATAAAAGGCTATTACTTTCTTTAATTTCTTTAAAATGTAGTGTATAATGTTACAAAAGTGTAAGTCCGACTAATTCGATCCAAGGGCGGCATTCAAATTAGCGGTGAAGGTCACATGCGCGTTCCGTCTCTTCCAATGGCAAAGGGATGTATAATTAAATGCAATACATTATCTTATGTATTAACTCGTTTCATCTGACTCCATAAAATGAAAGTGTTTTTTCAATGATATCTGTGCATCATTAAGTATACGTTAATGTTTGACTGTTCCTTTTAACTCCAAGGAAAATAATATCAAAGTCTGTTAGAATAATCAAATATAACAATTTATTATGTCAGGTAAAAGTATTATGCCAATTTCATAATCAGTTCAAATATCATCAATACAAAACATCAAATGCTCTAGGATAAGAGAAATAGATGCAAACCCAACATTTAAGAACTACATGAGCTAAACCTCACGGGCTATCTGAAATACAGAAAGAGCCCTGAGCTCTCGCTGCATTTTCCTTATATAGCCAGATGTAAAGCTTGAATTTAGTGGAAATTTACTGTGTTCACCCCCCCCCCCCCCCCCCCCCCCCAGACTCACTGGGGGTAGAAGAACCATTTTGCTAAGAACAGTGGAAATTAGCATTCATGAATTTACACCTTTGGGAGTGCCTAGACCACATTCCTTTGTGTGCCAGTTATTCCTAAACTCTTAAAACCCTTATTTCCTTTTGTTTTACTTATTTGGAAATGAGACATATGTACCAGCCACCCTGAGACCTTTAAAATGATACTAAACACAATAATCATTCACATTAAACCATAGATATTCTTATGTGAGTTTTTATGTGTCACTGCGAGAGTGGGGGATGCGGGGAAGAGGTGTGTGTGTGTGTGTGTGTGTGTGTGAGAGAGTTCAGATGTTAATTAGCCAAGGTCCTTTGTCTCAATAGACCATGTGGTCAGATATTTTCTCTTCAACAGGTTTTACGGTCTTACAAAAGCTTTCTATTTCAGATAAATGCTATTATTTTGAACTATGGTTTGTGTGTAATGTGACTTTTTTTTTGTGTGTGTGACCTTAAAATTCATTTTAGAATTAAATTGTACATAAATAGGTTAAGCAAAACAATTGTGTTTAATATCTGAGAATCTAATATCTAATATCTTTTAAACACACAAACCTGAAATGACATGTACTGTCTGTGTGATACAGTACAAATATTTTGAGTGTCCCTTATTTTCCTGTAAAGAACCACAATTGTCCCATTTTTGTCTTTTCTGAAGTTGGCAACCCTACATGTGATGTTTCTGTCATGTTGTAATGTCATGTTTCTAATCTAGAAAGTTCTGGACAGGATGTGAAAGCTAAATACAGAGAAAGACTGAATCCCGGGCAACTCCTGCTTCCATTACACAGCTCTCCCGACC